TGTATAACAGCACTCATGGTGTTGAAACAGGCCCCATTTGGACTGGCTCGTTCACACATAAGTACAGAAGTTAATCAGGAAGGAAGAAGGAACAGGCATGTTAAGCCTCTCAATGGTTTGGGGCCATCTCCACATGGCACATGCAATACCTAAACAGCACGGGCCATGGTTGAAGGATTCTGGGCTATGACTGACCATTGACCCGAAACTGGACACAGCCATATACAGAAGCTAGGAATACTGCGGCAAGTAACTCACCTCCCGACTCCCCAAAGCCTGTCCCACCATCTACAAGGCACAAGTCAGGGGCGTGATGGAATACTCCCCGCTTGCCCTGGATGGGGGCAGCTCTGACAACACTCTAAGCACTCAACACCATCCTCCAAACAGACACTGTGTACCATCCACAGAAATTCACCGAGGCTTCTTAGACAGCACCTTCCAAACCCACAACTACCATCACCCAGAAGGAGAAGAGCCACATTGGAACACCGCCCCTTGGCAAGGTCTCCTCTGATCCAATCACTATCCTGACGTGGAAATATATCGCCATTCCCTCAGGGTCAGAATCCTGGAATTCCCTCTATAAGGGACATTGAGAGTCTAGCTACAGCACATGGACTGCAGCGTTTCAAGAAGGTAGCTCAGCCCCCCATCTTCTCATGGGGCAACTAGGGACGGGGCGATAAATGCTGGGCCCGGTCCGCGATGCCAATGTCCTGGAACACCTGGAAAAAAGTAACTAGGGGTTTTACGCCTGCTACGCTGCCCCATGTGTCACTGTCAGCAGTGGGGAGGAGTACATTTCTCATCGTCCCTCAGTTTCATGGCAGGAGACACCCAAATCGAATAGAAGTTTCAAACCACGCAGCTGCACGTACCGTTTTGCACAGCAACAGGGGGAGGAAGCCGGCAAAGTACGGGGCAAAGATCTGTCCTCCCACAGCGGCAGCTAGAAGGGGAATGCCCTCTCCTGCGTACTCCAGGAGCATGGAGTCGTACTCGGCCTGCAAGTGAAGAAAAGACAAGTCAGCCACACGCCTACCAACAGTCAGGAGTTAAGTTACGTGCATTCACACTTCAACTTAACGGTTATAACGGCTGTTGCTTGTGGCGACTGGTTAAATAGGTGTTAAAGTGCTAAGTAAACAAGAGTTAGATTGTTATAAAATACGCAAGCCCTAATACTAACATCGAGGTTGACGCAAAGTAAATGCGCTGTTGTCAAGAGACCCTTTTACACAGGGCCTAAGTGGAGAATTTTAAATCCACACCTCCTTATCGAACAGCACAACTCAAGATACATTGTCTTGGCAATACCCACAGCAACATCCAAGGAATTCACTTGATTTTGCATCAGTGCCCAAGGGATGCTGATCTGAGCCGCACTTCAGAGAAGTGGTATCAATGAGGGTTTGTAATCAGTGGATGATTGGACAATGATATTGTGGTGGAAGCTGGCAGTCTCGGTGAAAGAGAAGTGGGGGTCAGGGCACCGAGTTTGAGAGCAGTCTGGCTCTGCCTCCGGTCGTAGCCAAGGCCTGGGATGGAGTCGACGGTGAGGAAACCAGGTCTGTAACTCTGCTCGGAGCCAATGGCGTTGGGTTTGCCGAATGTTCAAGCAGAGGAATTCCAGTCCTGAAGGTCTGGGAAAAACGGTGGCAATTCAATGGCCATGGAAAGGGCAGAGCAGATTGTAGTTGGGTGCAGCAGAGAGCGTCACGAACAATAACGTGAAAGCTGGTGTGCTCAAACTGTGGGGAGGGTACAGCAGGTGGAGGTGGTGGTGGTGGAGGGAGGCGTGCGTAACAGTTTGCAAAGGCAAGCGGAGAAGTCAATATCAGATTTCACTGAGGAAAAGAAACAACACTGGCAGAAGTGGGTAGGGTAGTGAGGTGCTGTCAGAGAACCATCATTTTTTCTTTATTCATTCACGGGATGAGGGCGTCGCTGGCCAGGCAGCATTTATTGCCCATCCCTAATTGGCCAGACAACAGTTCAGAGACAACCACATTGCTGTGGGTCTGGAGTCACATGTAGGCCAGACCAGGTAAGGATGGCAGTTTTCCTTCCTCAAAAGGACATTAGTGAACCAGATGCGTTTTTTTTTTCCCCGACAATCGACAATGGATTCATGGTCGTCATTAGATTCTTAATTCCAGATATTTTATTGAATTCAAATTCCAATATCTGCCGTGGCGGGATTCGAACCCGGGTCCCCAGAATGTTACCTGCGTCTCACGATTAACAGTCTAGCGATAATACCACTCGGCCATCGCCTTCCCTTACAATCTCAGGTATCCTGGGGTTAGGAATGTTCAGTAGGTGGCAAGCAGCAGTTTCATGGGATTAGAGGGAATGTGCAAGAGATGGCGATGGGGAGAGGGATGACTATACAGGGAAGACAGCTCTGAATGTAAGCACGCAGAAACAGATGGCACGCAAGGATGAGGAAGGGGTAGGCCAGAGATAGGTGGGCAGATTAAAGCATGACTCTGACCCACAAAAGGAGTGACTGGGACAAGTGACCAAAGGCATAGGTATTAACAAGGAGACACAGATGCAATGAGATATAGGAGAGAAATTCCAGAACTTAGGAGCTGGAGAGGGTTCAGAAGGAGATTGACCAGGATGTTGCTGGGTATGGAAGGTTTGAGTTATAAGGAAGGGCTTGATAGGCTGGGACTTTTCTCACTGGATCGTGACCTGATAGAAGTTTATAAAATAATGAAAGGTATAGATAGAGTTGATGTTAGTTGTCTTTTCCCTGAGATGAGGGTTTCAAGACTAGGGGGCATATTTTTAAGGTGAGAGGAGAGAGATTTAAAAAAGACATAACAGGCAAATGTTTTACACAGAGGGTGGTTCATATGTGGAATGAACTTCGAGGAAGCCGTGGATGCAGGTATAATTACAATGTTTAAAAGACATTTGGATGGCCATATGAATAGGAAAGGTTTGGAGGGATATGGGCCAGGAGCAGGCAGGTGGGACTAGTTTAGTTTGGGATTATGTTTGGCATGGACTGGTTGGACCAAAGGGTCTGTTTCCGTCTGTATGACTCGGTGACTCTCGGATGCAACATGGCAAAGCCCTGTGATGGAATAGTCATGCAGAGGTCATGAAGATACGAACAAGGGTTTTTGCTCCATCTCAGCTTATATGCAGCTAAGTTCAGTGATGTTAAAGAGGAGGAAATGGGTGGCTTAACTGCATGGTCAGAATATGACACGACACCAAGTTAACAAAGAAACTGGCTTATTCTCCATCTGTCTCCAAGAAGAGGAGTGAAGTGGGCAATTACAGCCAGATTTCTGAGCATGGCCCGAAAGCAATGGCTACAGTCTTCCCCATTTTTAACTGGAAGAAATTTCTGTCTCCCCAGTATTGGATGCGAGATAGGCAGGGCAATAATTTCGAGATTATGGAAGAGTCGAGAGAGGTGGTGGGCAAGGTAGAGCAGGCCACTGTCAGGGTAGATGTGAAAACTAAGGGCGTGCTTTCAGGCGTTGCAATGAGAAATGCGAGTGGGTTAGATCCTTGGGGACATCAGTGGTAATAGTACGACCGCAGGAAAGGATGCCTCATTGCAAGTGACAGAATTACACAAAAATCTCGCACTGCTCATGGTGAGGGTGCAAGGAGGAGTTTAGAAGGATCTAAAGAGACACCTGGAAGGGGAGAAAACATCACATTAACAGGTCAGAGCTGAAACGCCACCACCACTAGCATCTTAATCATCCTCTCGGTTCTAAAAGCGCATTGTTTGGACTGGGATTTGCCATTCCCTGGCCTCCCTTTCCCCAGACCCCACCCCCCTTTAAAGGCAGATCCTTTAGTGTTGGTGCTAGACTCGTGTTGTAACAGGTTAAACCTGCTCTTAAGCAAATACCAAGGCCTTGCCCGCCTGTTGAAACACAACAGTAGCTATGTAAAACATCCAAGAGCCCTCTAATGACTGGCTCCAAACGGTGACTCACACCAGTGACACAACACCGTTCAGATCCACTGCGAACAGTCAGGTGTGGGGAAAATACAACCCTCCAGGCTGGATCGACAGCAGCCTGCCCTTTAATCCTGTGTCCAGCTGCATTTTTACATGGAGCCGCACTTGGTTCCTGCTTCAGACAAGTGAAGTAGTGCTGCTTTGTGTAAAAGTTATTTGCTTGGGGAACATGGGGCTGACAGAGAGGACACTGTGCCTTGGAGCACTAAGGATCGCCAGCAATCTTGCCTGCTCAACAGGATCTGTGCTCCTACAGTCGGTCAGCGGACAGACCATTGTACTGCTCCTGTTCACCGACGTCTGTATCACAGGTACAGCATCAAAACTAACCACGTTCCCTCATCCTTTTTGGTGGCTTTTGTGCATCAGGCAAATCCACTGCACTGCTGTTACGTGGAGAACTTTGAGGACCCAAGAAGATTGAGGGCAGATTCAAAAAGAGGGGCTCAAAATCATGAAGGGCTTTGATAAGAGTAAAGTAAGGAGAATCTGCTTCCATTACAAGTAAGCAGAGAATAGAGATTTAAAAAGAACCAGCTGAGAGACGAGAATGATTTTTGCTTGTGCCTTGAGTTTTGATCTGGAATACATTGTTCAAGAGTGTGGTGGAAGTAAATTTAAAGCTGAATTTCAGAAGAAAACTGGATAAATACTCAAAAGGGAAATATGTAAATTAGGGAATGAGAAAGAGCAGTGGTGGGGGGGGGGGGGCAGTGAATGGGATCCTCTATCAAAAGCACAGGCAATTATTTTCTGTATCTCACCTCTTCAGGATCTCCCACAGCAAGCTACTGCCAATGAGAGATTTTCTGAAGTTATGTTTCTAGTGTAGTGCAAGAAATGCAGCCCATAGTTTGCAGAGTAAGATCGTGAAAATGCAATTAGATAGTGATTACATCATTTGCTTTAGTCATGGTAATTGAGGGGCAAATCTTTTCCAGGCCACTGGGTCAAACTCCTTTCCTCTCTTTTCAAATAAAAAGTGGACACAGGATCATTTACATTCCACCGAGAAACAGACAGAGCATGTTTATGCTCTCGGCTGAGAGCACAGCAATGCCTTGGGATTGTTCTGGAATAGATTCTGCCGGGATTCTGTGCCCAGGTCCCCAGATTGGGCTTGTCTGAGATGTGCACATGCCTGTTTTAGATCGATGTGAAAGACACTACAGTTGCAGCGATCGCTGGTATGTAGCGGTGAACAGAAGAGCCTGGCACCGAGCCAGGAAGCCTGGGCTAGCTCAGAATCCAGAGTAATCCATGGCAGGCACTGGCCTAGCAGTATTATCACTAGATTATTAACCCAGAGATGCAGGTAATATTCTGGGAATCCGGGTTCAAATCCACCACGGCAGATTCAAAAACAAAAAAAAAAAAAAAAAAAAATTTTGGAATTAAACATCTTGCCAATTGTGGGGGGAGAAAAACCATGTGGTTCACCTCCGTCCTTACCTGGTCTGGCCTACATGTGACTCAGACCCACCACAATGTGGCTGTCTCCTCCCCCCACCCCAGGACAAAAATTAAAAAGACTTTGAAATTGCTCTCAGGTCCAACAGCCAGGTTCCTTCAGAGCAGTAAAGTAACTGGACAGCAGGATGACTATTCACAGAAACCATTTGCATTCTATCATGTTGTAACAGAGCTGAACAGTTGCTCTTTTCAGTCTAGCCGCATACGTAAAAGTATGTCAGTACTGTCAGGAAAGTTAATGATGTATTATTTACTGGAACTTGGGTTCAAAATTATAGACAAATGAGATTTTGGTTTTCAGTGCCTCTTTTTTTAAGAAAGAAGGGTCAGAAGGTTATTTGGAAGGGTGAGTTAAAGACAGCCTTTCCAAGAAATGATGTGACCAAAGCAAAATCAGTCAACAAGCCACTCAGTGAGATGAGTGCTGTTTATTGTTGACAAGAAAAGGGGAGGCCAGGGACACAAGCTGGTCAGAATCAGGAAAGATCAATTGCAGCAGAGTGCAGTTTTAACGCTTGTGGAAGTCTTCAGAACTGGGAAGCGATCCTAATGTGTTTTTAGCAGTGTCAAGGTAGTCAGCCAGAGAAAAGCAAGTGGTTTAGCCTGCACGTCTTTGGAAAAGAGAGTAACAGTGACAGTCACAGCAGCTGAAAGTGCAGGAAATCTCCGAAAGGAAATACTGAATTCGCAAATACACAATGAAGAAATCTTAAAGTGAAGAGCAGAGGGATATTTCACTGGGGTAGAATGTCCGCAAAAGGAAGTTACTTTTTTCTATTCCAAGGTAAGATTCTTACCAAACTGTCTAGATTTATAATTTTTTTCCCTTTTCCTTTCAGATAATAAACCTTTGTTCTTTTCTTAAAAGAACGCTGACAACCTCATCTGAATATAGTCAGTCGAGCAACTGCCACAGTAACCAAATTTCAAAAGTAAAACCTGTGGTATCAAGCCAGAATATTTATCACCGCACAGTTGATGCAAGGGAATGAGAAATGCTAATAGTATCCTGGGTTATGAGAGAGATCAAAGTGTGTGAAATTCAGAGCCATAAAGTAAGCAACTATGACTCTATAACAGCACTAAAGAGAGGTAGACAGTGTACAGTGAGCAAGAGAAAAATATCACAAGAGTGACAGTAGCACAAAAGTGTAGGAGAAGCAGGGGAGAAAAGCAAAAAGAATCAGAGAAAGACAGGGATCATATGCAAGGAATAAAACAGAGTTGTAATTCCAATGGATGTCAAATTGTATCACTACATATAAAACCTGAAGACTTCTGACTGCCTAGTCTGGATGTGTTTAAACTTTCAGTACTGGAAAGGTTGAATCCCAACGATTGAATATCAATCTCTGAAACCCCGTTCATCATATTGTGTACGCTTTGACGTGCTAGGTGAGAGGGTTATGGAACCAAAATGTGGAGATGGAATTAACATACAAATGGTCTCACTGGAAAAGTGGGACAAGCTCAAGGAGCCAAACGGCCTACTCTTGATGTTCCAATTGAACGGGGAGCACAGCCTTGAATGTTTAAATGGCAGCTGACTGCGAGAGGTGAATTTGCACACGAAGGCGAACAGTTACCAAACACCTAAAAGACCATGTTTTCTGTGCCCTCTTTAGGCTACCTCTTCTTCTGCTGGTTCGCAGAACTGCAACTGGCAAACAGCCAGGAGGTGATCTCACTCCGATTTACTGCCTTTCTCAACGAGACGTACAACGCCGTCACCTTCCTGATCCTGGCTCTGATTGCTGCAGAGACTCACTTCACCACCAGATTCCAGAGGATGGTGCCCCTGGGCAAGCACCAGGTCTCTGCCCAGCCATCTCCTGCCAGCCACCAGCTAGCCTTGGTGAATGTTGTCTACACGCTGCTCTGCTGGATCATTGCTGCTTCTTATGGGGCTCGCCATTATCCGGATGCCGCCCGCTCTGCCCGTCGGTGCTCGGGGGAACACCCCTTTGGCCACCTCCGCTGCCTGCAGGGCTTCTACCTGCCAGATCCCTTCCTCGTGCTCGTTGGGTTAATGGTCACAACCAGCTACATCCTATGTCGGGGGACGTACACGGACAGCTCGGAGGTGCAGCACCAGGTTCCCACACCAGCTCTGCCTTCAGGATCACAAATCTCAGCAGAGGCATCATGTATTCCTCTAAAGGTTGGCCAGACACAGACAACATGCTGCCCTCAGAGCCTGGCGACTCAACCTGGCTACCTTCTTCCCGGGCTGGTTGCTGCACTAATGCTCTTCCCGGATCTCCCGTACTTGGGACTGACTTCGTCCTTCATCAGCTGCTTTGAACACCTTAGCCTGCGTTTCTTTGCGCACATTTCGAAACACTCCCAACGTGGTGCAGAACCGGTGCAGCAGCAGTTTGGTCCGTACAGATTGATCCACACGCTCCTGAGCCACTGGAGAGCACGGACAGACACAGCGAGGAGTTCTCCTTCCCCAGCAGGAATTTCAGAATTTAGTGCAGAGATCAAATGCTGACTGAGGGGAACCACTTTGCAGAACACGTCTGTTCTGTCTGTAGAAACCTTCCAGCTGCTCACCATTTAAATGGACCATCTTGCCCCCATGCTAACAGTCGTGTCCTGGGTCTGCTACAGTTTTCCAATGATGCTCATCGCAAGCTGGAGGAACAGCCCCTCGATTTCCTCAGAGACACTTTACAGCCTGCTGGACTTGATATTCAGAGCTTCCCACCTTCTTAGCATGACCTCCGTCCTCCGTTCTCCCCATCACCACCCATCTCGGCTGAGTCTTCCTTGTGCCTTGCTGACTTTGTGCTCCTTTTCACTCCTCCATTTACACCTATATGACATCTCGATCTCTCGTCTACCACCACACGCACTCCTTTGGTCTTTTGCTGTGGGCACCCTCACAATCTATCCCCCTCGGTCCGCCTCCCCAACTGTCAACAACATTAAAAACTACCATTCTCCAGCCCCCTTTTAGGTTTTGGCAAAGTCACTGGACTCAACACATTAACTCAGTTTCTCTCTCCACAGAAATGCTGAGTTTTTCCAGCAGTTTAAGACTTTATTTTCAAATTCCAGCATCCGCAGTATTTTGCTTTTCGTTCAGAGTTTAGCACCCTGTCTCATGGAATCACGCCTACTAATTTATTAGCCCATAAACGTGCGTACTTCTATGTGTTTAAACTGTAATAAACCTGACAGCACTTAGTGGCTTAAAGCCTGTTCCTTTTTTATGTCTGATGCTTGTGATTAAGTTACAGCACGAACCTGAGAGCAAACTTTGTCCAAATGGGATAGGACTAATTACTAACCTCATAGTGATAGTGTTCCTAGGAAGCAGCCACCAATAACATGATTGAATTTTACACAGATTAAGGGAGAAAGCACAGCTAATGAAAGTGAAGTGGCCATTTTGGTTAAGAGATCACGGCTATAGAGCAGCAAACACTTAACGGAGTATTCGAGGACGTGCAGAATAGATACATTCCATCAAATGAGAGAAATTGTAAGGGATAGGTCGGTTCACTCATAGTTAACTAAAAAAGTTAAAGATAGTATTAAGCTCAAAGAAAAAGAAAAGACACATAATTCTGCACAGATAGACAGCAGGTCGGAGACTGACAGAACATAAAAATAGCAACGAATCATGCATTACAGAAAAGGGCCTTTGGCCCATCGAGTCTGCACTCACAAAATCAATTCTAAATCTACATTAATCCCAATTGGTCCTTAAACTTGAATGTTCCCAAAAAGTACTAAAAGATTACTAATGGTAGGAAAAAATTCGATTAAGCCCAAAAATATTAAAAAACAGGACATTCTTCAGATATTTGAAAAACAAAGAGAACACAGTAAGTGGTGGTCATGTAGAAAAGGAGTCTGGGGAATTAGTAATGGAAGATAAAGAGATGACAGATATTTTGCACTGGTCTTCATGAGAGACAAGTAGCACCCTGGAACTAGCTGTAATTCAGGATTGAAAAGGAAGGAACTTCAGAACATTACAGTTACCAGGGAAGCAGGAGGGGCGGCGGCGAGGGTACGGAGGTTCCTTTACATTGGAGAATAATTAATATAACTCTGTTATTGAAAAAGGGACGGAGAAAGAAAGCAGGAAAGTACGGGCCAGTTCACTTAACATCTATCATAGGGAAAATGTCAGAGCCTATTCTTAAAAATGTTATAACTGGGCTTTCGGATAAATTCAAGCCAACATAGGGAGATCATGGAGCCCATTGAAGAAGTAACTTGTGCTGTAGATAATCCGGTGAATGTATTGTTCTTAGGATTTCCAGAAGGCATTTGATAAGGGTATCACATTAAAGTTTACTGAGGAAAATAAAAGCTTGTAGTGTAGGCATGGCTAGAAGATTGGTTGACTTACGGGAAGCAGGGAGTGGGAATAAGTGGATCGTTTACACAAGTGAGTGGTGTGTCACAGGACTCAGCGTTGGGACCTCGACGCTTTACACTTCACAGAAAAGATTTAGATGAAGGGATTGAGGGTGTGGTTGCTAAATTTACCGAAGACAAAGACAGGCAGGAAAAGGAGTTGTGAAGGACATAAGGGGGTCGACAAAGAAATAGAGATAGGTTCAACGAGTGGGCAAAAGATCTGGCAAATGGAGTACAAAGTGGGAAAGTGGGAAATTGTCCCTTTTGGCAAAAAGAAGAACAAAAAGAAGTGTTCGAGAGAGAGATAACACAGCAGGCCAAGCAGCATCAGAGGCGCAGGAAAGCTGACGTTTCGGGCCTAGACCCTTCTTCAGAAATGTTTGAGAGAGACTTGGGTGTCTTAGTATGTGAATCGCAGAAGGTTAATAAGCAGTTATAACAATTAACCAGGAAAGCTAATAAATTGGCAAAGCTTCCACCAGCCACAATGTAAGAGGTAAGTACATTTTCAACAATCCAAAACAAAGAAAGAGCATTGCAAGCATGTCATGTTGAAGTAGTACAGGCAAAGCAGATACATCGACAGCAAATCGTTACATTAACTGTCAACGAGAGATCAACTGGAATCAGTGGAATTTAAAACCGGAAGCAATTGACATTTGTTCTCAGAGTTTGTTCAGTATTTGCAAAATCCAACTGTTCCAAACTCTCTCAGCACACATTCGCTTTCCTCTTACCTCCTGCTCTTCGTCCGATTCGGTTTCCTCGTTTTCTGGATCTTGGCAAGCTGTCTGCAAGACACAATGTGCACAGTCAGCCCCAAGCAAAAGCAGTAACGTGCAATGACACGGCATCGCAGAGGGGCACTGGGACAAAACGCAGACTCTGGGCTGTTTAAGGAGATGTGACTAGAAATGTCTGGTCAAACAGGCACGTTTCTCAGTCACAGCATTTGGCCGTTACCTTTTTCTGCAGTACGTTCCGAATGGCTTTGCAGATCTCATCCAGGCGCCCTGGCTCCTTCAGTGTGTCCCCTTTGCAGTGTTTCAGCACATTGTTCATGGACTCCAGGATCGTCATGACCACAAGGCGATCCTTCTCCTCGTGAATGGTTTTCAAATAGTTTGGAAACACCATGGCTAGCAACTTCTGGAAACCTGGAGGGAACAAAGACACAAGATGCATGGACTGGAACAGGGCTGGAGCGCGGGGATGCAGGAAGGAGGTAAGGATTTCAAAAGGACAACTATTCTCCACTGATTTCTTCATAGCTCCCAGTCATACACTGCACCAGAACCATACCAGAGAGCAATCAGGTAATCTCTTCCCAACAAAACCAGAAAACAAAGCAAACTAAACAAAGTAAACCAAGCAACAAAAATCTCTGCTGATTCTAACTAATGATCACAGGATGAAAAAGTTAGCACTCAGAATAGGCGAATATGGAACTGCTCACAACTAAAGCAGCAGAGACCACTTGTTAGAACCGCAGAACATGGGAATCTGGTGCACTGCTAAACTCTCACAGCTAACTGGCCACAATGTCTCAACCTCCAGTCGCTTGTGATAATGTGGCATACCTGCATGCGATGAAGGAGCTGAAATCTGGCTTTCTGCCAGACAGCCAATCTTCTATCCATGCTAGCACCTTGCCTCTAACACCACGGGCCGTTAGCTTACTCAGCAGCCTCCTGTGTGACACCTTATCAAAGGCCTTCTTGAAGTCCAGGTAGGTAACATCCTTTGGCTCTCCTTGGTCTACTCTGCTCGTTACTTCCTCAAAGAATTCGAGCAGATTTGTCAGGCATGACCTCCCCTCGATGAAGCCAGGCTGACTTTGCCCTACTTTACCGTATACTTCGAAATATTCAGAAATCTCATTCTTCACAATGGACTCCAAAATCTTATCCACAACCGAGGTTAGGCTTTTTGGCCTGTAATTTTCCGTCTTTTGCCTTCCTCCCTTTTTAAACGGGGCTGTCACGTTAACGATTTTCCAGTCCTCTGGGACCCTCCCTGACTCTAGCAATTCCTGAAAGATCACCACTAACACTTCCACTATCTCTTCAGCTATCTCCTTTAGAACCCTGGGGTGTAGTCCATCTGGTCTAGGTTATTTATCCACCTTCAGGCCAATCAGTTTTACTAGCACCTTTTCTTTGGTGATGGCCACCATACTCAGCTCTGCCCCCTGGCTCTCTTGAATTTTTGGGATATTACTCATGTCTTCCACCGTGAAGACTGACGCGAAGTAATTATTCAGTTCCTCAGCCATTTCCTTGTTCCTCACTACTATCTCTCCAGCGTCATTTTCCAGGGGTCCAATGTCTACTTCTGCCTCTCTTTTGCCCTTTATATATCTAAAGAAACTCTTACAGTCTTCATTTACATTACTGGCTAGCTTGCCCTCATATTTAATCTTCTCCCTCCTTATTTCTTTTTTTGTTGCCTTCTGTTGGTCCTTGTAAGCTTCTCAATCCTCTGGTTTCCCATTGCCCTTCGCCACATTAAATGTTTTCTCTTTTGCTTTTATGCTATCCTTGACTTTCTTAGTCAGCCATGGTTGCCTCATCCTCCCTGTACCATGCTTCTTTTGCCTAGGGATGTGTCTCCTGAATTACTCCCAGAAACTCCTGCCATTGCAGTTCCACTGTCTTTCCTACTAGGCTCCTCCTCCAGCCAGTTCTTCCCAGCTCCTCCCTCATACCTCTGTAGTTGCCTTTATTCAGCTGTAATACCGTTACCTCTGATTCTATCTTCTCCCTCTCAAATTGCAGAGTAAATTCTATCATATTATGATCACTGCCTCCTAAGGGTTCCTTTACCTTAAGCTCCCTTATCAAGTCTGCCTCACTGCACAACACTAAATCCAGTATTGCCTTTCCCTCGTGAGCTCCACCGCAAGCTGCTCCAAAAAGTCATCTCGTAGACATTCCACAAACTCCTTTTCTTGCAATCCACTACCAACCCGATTTTCCCAATCCACCCGCATATTGAAATCCCCCATGATCACTGTGACTTTGCGTATCTTACACACCTTTTCTATCTCCTGGTGTATCTTGCACCCCAGCTCCTGACTACTGTTTGGAGGCCTGTACACAACTCCAATTTATGATTTTTTTTACCCTTGCGGTTCCTCAATTCTACCCACACAGATTCTACACCATCTGACCCTACTTCATTTCTTCCTATGGATTTAATTTCATTTCTTACTAATATGGCAACCCCACCCCCTCAGCCCACGTGCCTACCTTTTCGATAGGATGTACATCCTTGGATATTCAGTTCCCAATCCTGATCCCCTTGCAACCACGTCTCCGAAATGCCCACCACATCATACCTGCCAGTTTCAATCTGCGCCACAAGCTCGTTTACCTTATTCCTGATACTGCATGCATTCAGATATAACACCTTCAGTCCTGTATTAACCATCCCACTTTTCATTGTCATTTGTTTATCCAGTATGCTTGAAGTTGGATTGCTAGCCCTTTCCAAACACTCTGTGCTATGTGGCCACACATATACACACATACACATGAATGGTGGAGACAAAATGCCATTCGGGCTCTCTAACATTCGATGAGATCATGGCTGATCTGATTGCTATCTCAAACTCGTTTTGATCACCTTGAGAAGAAATTTTGTTTTTAAACATAAATAGCTCCGGGTTTTCTTTTCCTCTGAGTCTCTGGTAGCACTGTAACAATTTTATGATTCCAAGTGATATGGGCAAAGGAGTGTTTAAGACACGAGCCAGCCATGACCAGAGGGAACACTTTTTAGGAAGTGAAAGCCTTAGTGCCCCTGATGTCTATTGCCCACCAGTTTCCTTCCTTTACTGCATACTGGATTTTGCCAAGTGATTGGGACAATGTTTCATCTGGGGGATGAGGGCATGCCAGGCAGTGAAGTGGATGGGTGAATACTTCCCAGTTGTTCTGCAAGCATGAGGACTTTTGAACAAATCTCGTCCCTTAACTCATGGAAGCAGTAGCTGAAATAAAAAAGCTGGCCCTTTCCCTTGTGCTGTAACAGGTCTCCTCAGGATCGAGGAGACTTACAGGCTGCCGGGCAGTGAACATCTCTGCATGCTCGGAGGGAGTCAAGGAGGGAAGGAAAGCAGCCTCCGCCAAAAGGTGACAGAATGTTACTCCGATGATCACCCACAGATGACAGGGTGTGACACATCCTAAAGTGCTTCACAGCTCCAAACAGCAGGCCTGGGCACATCGTGGAGGCAGCAGGGCAATAAACCAGAGGCTGACGAGCTATAACACACACAAGTGTGAACTCATACATTTTGGAAGGCAGAATGTTAGGAGGGGATATAAATTTTGGAGTTGGTGGGGTAGGGGGCAGCAATTGGTGGAAAAACAGTGACAGCTGGGGGCGTAGGTACATGAGTCTTTGAAAAACAGCAGGGCAAGTTGAGGAAGCTCTTTAAAAGTTACAAGACAGGGTCCTCAGAATACTGCGCCCAGATGGACGCCCCTTCTAAAGTGCAGAACCAGCTGTCCTGGAACCCTGCTAGAGAAGAGACTTTGGTTATTGTGAAGACTGTTGGGGAAGCTGGGAATCTCTCCTCAGAGCTGTGTAATAAGAGATTCAGTTGGGGTGTTAAAAATCATGAGGAATTTTGACAAATTAGGGAGGGGGAAAGACTGTTCTCCTGCAAGTGGATGACACATAGGTTTAAGGATTAAAAAGGTAAAGCAGCACGAGATGTAACGGGGAGAATTTGCTTTTTAGGCACCGAGGTATCTGGAATCCACTGTCTGAAAAGGATGGCGGAGTAGACTCAATGGTGATTACCAAAAGAAATTGGGCAAATGTTACCTTTATTGGTTCACACCAAGTGGGTGTCACCAGCTAGGCCAGCAGTTATTGCCCATCCCTAATTACCCAGAGAGCATTCAAGAAGCAATCACACTGGTGTGGGTCTGGAGTCCAGAGCCATTTAGGGAGGCAGATTTCTTTGCCTAAGGATATTAGTGACTCAGATAGGTTTTTTTTAAAATGACACAATCAACAGTCTTTTATAAGCTGATTTTTATCAGATTGAAAGGTCAGCATTGACCATGGAAGAATTCAAACCCATGTGCCCATCTGGGGTTTTGGATAGCTGGCCCAGTGACATTAGCGGTACAAGTGAATCTTGCTGGTTAGGACTTGGATTGAAGGCTAAATAATTGGCCTCAACTTTCCTGCTTTTCTTCTGACACAGCCGCTGTAAACTGTTGAACTTCATGTGCTGAAAGCTGACACAACGGACAGTGTGGCACTTCTTCGGTTACGAGCCCCAGGACTGTTGGTTTCATCGATGGAGCTCGGGATCCGTGTTCATGGGAATATGAGCCAAGGAAGACAGAGAGTTCTCCCATTGGCCATGGCAGACACCACCAGAGCAGCAACCATCCTGGGAAGCCTGGGGCTCTTGCGACATTTTATTGGACATTGGATACGCTCTATCATAAACATCTGCATGGTTTGTTTCTGAGAACGAGCGATGATGTGGAATTTAAGGAAACATGTTAAAAAGAAATGCAACATGGAGACTAATATGCTTCACCGTGATAAACATGGAAGTCTCCTGATCCTCAGGTTATGTACAGTCCGTAGAACAGAAACAGGCCACTCTGCCCCTTGACTCCTGCTTCACACAAGTCTCCTTTCATTCCGACTTTATCTCAATTCACCAACATATCCTTCTATATCTTTCTCCATCGTGTGTCCTTAGAACACACAGAATCCCCACAGTGTGGAAGCAGGCCATTCGACCCATCAAGTCCACACCGACCCTCTGAAGAACATCCCACCCAGACCCGCCCCTGCATTTCCCACCCTAGACACGATGGGCAATTTAGCATGGTCAATCACCTAGCCTGCACATCTTTAGACTGTGGGAGGAAACTGGAGCACCCAGACGAAACCCACGTAGACATGGGGAGAATGCGCAAACTCCACATAGACAGTCGCCTGAGGCTGGAATCGAACCTGGGTCCTTGGTGCTGTGAGGTAGCAGTTCTAGCCACTGAGCCACTGTGCTGTCCTATACATCCACACTATTCTCAGCCACTCCCTGTAATAGCAGGTTCCACAGCGTGGGAAAAAAAACTCTCTCATGAATCCCATCTTATTGAATCGGAGAATGAGACAGAGCAGAAAAGCATTCGGCTCCAGCACGAATGCCAGCTCTTGGAAAGAGGTTCAGTGGGAAGCCCCGAGATGAAACTGTTACCTTCCAAGTTTTGGTCTGTTGGGTTTTCCTGAGCAACTTTGTAAAGGGCACAGCAGAATTGGCCAACTGCTTCATATGCAGACTTCCTGACATTGACGTGAGGATACTGCAAAAGACATGAATACATTGAGATTGATCAAAACGAGGAATAAAGAAGCTGCACTAGGGACAGACATAAGGACAGCTTGCATTTCTACAGTGCCTCCCAATACTTCAGCACATCCCAAAACACTTCAAAACTAATGGATATCTTTTGTAATGTGATGACTGTTGGCAGTGCTGTTAGAATACAACAGGATGCTGCCTCCTGGGGAATTCTTCAGCCAGGGACACAGCTTCAAAAATGAGGAGGCTCCCAAATTCAAATGGAGACCAGAAGAGTCAGCGTCAGTGCGGCGCACCATCAGCGCTGACCTGCCGACAGTGCCCGCTCCCTCAATGCTGACCCTCAGACAGCGCGGCGCTCTCTCAGCGCTGAAACCATTTGGTTGAGAGAGGGAGAGCAGGTGGCAGGCATTTCTAGAATGATTTTGGAAAAAGTTTGTCAGCCTTTGCAAGGTCCTGAATTTGGGCTTGAACATGAGGGGTTGGGCTGTGGACTGGAGGTTCTTTGTTTTGTCCAAGCTTTCCACTGAAGCTCCAATCGATAACATAATCTGAATGATTGGTGCCCAACAGCAGCAAAATGAAGCTGCTGTTCTGATGGGCCTTTGCCAGAATTTAATGAGGGCATGGGGCAAAAGCTGAAGAACTGCAGTAGCTGTTAATTACGTGATGCATTCGGAAATCAGATACTCACATCATTAATGCGGAAGATTTCTTGAAAACACGTTTCCATAAATGGCATGAAGGCAGCCCTAAGGTAAACAAAACAAGCTTAGCTCAAAAATATCTTTATGCTAAAGTAAGTCTAAACTAGTGTGATTTTTAACCATTTGTTGATCAGATTGCCGGCTGGGTCAGCATTTGTTACCCATCCCTAATTGCCCTTGACAAAGGCAGCGGTGAGCTGCCCTCTTGTGCCGCTGTAGCCCACGTCATGTGGGAGCTGTGCATCTTGTAGATGGTACACACTGCTGCTTCTGAGCGTCAGTGGTGGGGGGGAGCGGATGTTTGTGGATGTGGTGCCAATCGAGCAGGAGCGGGCTGCTTTGTCCTTGGATGGTGTTGAGCTTTGAGTGTTGTTGGAGATGCCCCCATCCAGGGGCAAGTGGGCAGCCACTTAAAACACACCTTTGGAAGGATATATTGACCTTGGAGGGTGTTCATGTCATTTTATAAGAATGACACCTAGACTTCACGGGTTACGTTATGGGGAGAGAGTGTACAAATTGGAAACCAACGCGGAAATTGCTGGAAACAAAAAGCACAGCAGGTCTGACAGCATCTGTGGAGAGAAAGCAGAGTTAGAAGAAACGAGAATTCTGCTTTCTCTGCACAGATGCTGCCAGACTTGCCGAGTTTCCCAGCAATTTCTGCTTTTGTTTCTGCTTTCCAGCCATCCGTAGTTCTTTGTTTTCTCATACAAACCGGGCCTCGTTTTCTCTAAAATTCAGAAGGTTAAGAGGTGTTCTGAGCGAAGTTTTCAAAAGTATTAACAGGACAAGACAGGGTAGATAAAGATAAACTATTTCCATTGGCTGGGGATTCTAGAACTAGTGTGTACAATCTGAGAATTAGAGCCAGACCATTCAGGAGAGATGTTAGGAAGCATTTCTACACATAAAGGGTGGTAGAGGTTTGCAGCTCTTCAAAAGGCAGTGGATGCTGGATCAGTTATGTTTAAACCTGAGATAGATAAGCTTTCGTTAAGCGAACGTATTAAGGGATATGGGCCAAAGGCTGGTACGTGGAGCTTGGCCACAGCTGAGCTCTGAATTCATTAAGTGGTGGAACAGGCTCAAAGGTTTGAACAGCCCACTCCTGTTGCTTTGCTCACCCTCCTGACCTGTGCCATGTCGATGGTAGACAGGCTTCGGGGAATCAGGAGGCGAGTTACTTGCAGCAGGATACCCAGATCTGTGGCAAGGAAGAGGATATCGGAAGAATTGTACGCAGATGGAGAACAGACGGGAGCTGATGGTCTTACCCGGTATTGACAGCGATCTCTCCCAAAGCGTCACAGGCATCCTCCTTCTCATCGAGATAAGCATTCTCCACGCTGAAACTGCCCAGAACACAGTGAACAACAGCAGAGAATTATACTGAAGTTACTGCAATGAAACAGGCCACACAGCCCAACCAGTCCATGCAGCATTTCACACTTCACATGGGCCTGCTCCCAGCCTATTGCCGTAAAAGCTTGAAATCCTTTCTACTTCATATAGTGACCCAGTTTCTCCCTGTGATACTGCATTCAGCTTTCTAACCAGTCCCTGGGTTAAAAAAAATCTTCGCTTGAATTGAACAAAGAGATATTGGCTTGAATGCAGCACGTTATATGATCTTGGGATGACCCGGAGTGCTTTCCAGCCAATTTTCTGATATGTAGTCACAGACACTACAGAGAAAAGGTGCAGCCAATTCGCATAAAGCAAGTTCAAAGAGTCAGCCCCTGTCTAAATGATGACCAGATAAACTTTTCCCTCACGCTAAAGGTGAGGGATAAAGAGTGGCCGGGACATTGAGAATAACAGAGGGTGCTAGATGAGGTTTACCAGGAGGTGGCCTGGATTGGAGTGAATTAGCTGTAAGGAGAGGTTGGACAAACTTGGATTGTTTTTCACTAGAGCGCCAGAGGCTGAGGAGTAACCTGATGCATGTGACTAAAACCATGAGAAGCATGGATAGGGTGGGCATGGATAGGGATGAAAAGCACTGTAATGATGAGCATTCCATGCCACCATTAATTCTGAGCTGTTAGATGCCTCATAAAAGCACACAGAGAGAGCTCCACAGTGCGGCGGAAATGTCAAATACTCAGGGGTATAGGTTTAAAGTGAGGGTGGGGGGGAAAGCTTAAAGGAGATGCACGAGGAAAGCTTTTTCATTTTTACACAGAGGGTGGTAGGTGCCTGGAAAGCGTTGCCAGGGCAGGTGGTAGAAGCAGTTACGATAGCAACATTTAAGACGCATTTAGACAGAGACACGAACAGGACAAATGGGTTCCACGCTTCATCTGAAGGACAGTGCACCACCCACCTAGCACCACACTGTAATTTATTAGTAACTATCTCACATTCATGGACCAACCCCTGGTTTTGGCGAATCTGTTCGATTTCTTCTAAATGTGCAATAAATATTAACACAAATATTGTTCATTTGCCCAACCCCTCAACAGCATATAACAGGTGGGTAATGCCGCGCTCTCTATTTTACTCAACGGCCAAATTAATGCTTCAATCTGGCTATGGACCAGTACGTCTTTGTTCTCCCCCACAAAAAGCAGACAACACGTAAAATCTGAGGGACATACTTAGAAAACAAAGCCACACGATTCCATGGTTTTGAACAAATAAAATTTGGTACACAAAGTTAAAACAGTAACACGATCTACAACACATTTACACCTTATATTCTAACACCCAGAATTAACTGGAGTTAAATACTGATTAACAGATGAACTGTAATTGAACACCCCACAGAATGGGGTTCAAAAACAGATCTCATGGATTTCTTAGTAAACCCTCCAGTTGTTACTGAGGCTGGGGGACATGGAATCTTATTAAAACCTTACAAGGGATTCCAATTCGGCACTTTCAAAGGCCTAGCTTCAGAACTCACTCAAAAACCATGTCAAACTGAATGTCTGAAGCCTGCTATGATAGGACTTTTTTTTGAGAAGCCTCATCTCCCTGCTCCCAAGTACCCGAGTGAGAAAAGGCAACAAACTTCCCAACTCACTGTAAACCGTATTGAGTGACCTCCTGAAAACCTTCACTAAGTCTCACCCACCCTTTTCCGAGGCAATACTGAACGTAACTAACATTTTCATACTGTCAAATATAGATTACTGTCTTACCCAGTACTAATGGATTGCAAGGTAATGAATTCCATCTCACTCTAAGACGTAAATCAAATCAGAGCCCCGTTGAAATTGGAAGCAAGAGATAAACCAAGCAGAACTGCACCCATTGCGAGCTGTCTGCAAGCTGAGCCAGAGCTAAAGGACAAGATCCAGCAGTGACACGTACCCAGTTATGTCGGCATCATCGTCATCCTCCTCCTCTTCTGTAATCGTCTCTTCCTCGTCCAGGTCATCATCCAGAAGCAGGAAGGTTTTGCTGTCATTGTCATAGTGTGCCTGCAGGAAACCAACAGCAGGGTAGCATCTAGTCTGGGTACAACTGGTCTGCTTGACATCATGTCCATGGCAGAGAAACCGTGGAGCTGCTGTACCGAGGGCCAAAGGGTTCAGGACTTTCGGGATTGGAAAATGAACGCACACTGATTCTCAACCCAGGACAAGCTCGACTCCTTGGGGATGAGCAACATCAGCAATTCAAATCATGTTGCTTCGACAAAGCATTGAGTGGAGAACCACTCCTCTCTGGAAATGTCACCACAGATATGAATCTGCGTTTTACTCCAGGGTTATTAGCAGACAGGACAAACTGACACATAAAATGTTAGGTCAGGTAGCCAAACGTTCAGTCAAAAAAAATGTATGATTGAGGGAGCAAATTCCAGTGCTCAGCAGTGAAGGCAGCTGGAGAGCAGCCACCAGTAGCAGAACAACTAAATTCAGGGATGCTGACAAAGGCAGAATTGCTGAAACGCAAGCACATGTGGGTAACAGGTTAACAGGATAGTGTTCGTTTCAATATGTGGTGGAGTTTTCGATGAGCTCAAGCTCACAGGAACAAGGAGAGAAGGCCAAGGCGAGAGCTTCAAATTGTACAAACTTGGTTTTAACTAGGAGGACACAAGTCAACGAGGGCACACAGGGTGAAACGCCACATCCGGTTATCTTTACCGTAACTCCTTCTGTCGATTTGATGGACAGCAGCATCACGGTGGTCATCTTCTCAAGGTGAGGTGCCATGCTCGGACCCATCACCACTGACAGGGCAGCAAAGAGACTGTAGCTGCAATCAGAAACGAGATGTCGGTCAAGGCCTTGGAGACGGTGCGGGGCAAACTGACGAGAAATGGTGCCGGGGCCAAAGAGCCCGGCGGCGCCGGGAAACCGAAGAAACTGAGCCGTCCTCCTTCCAGCAAGAGAGATGAAGGAAGAGATTTAGCAGAGGGGGTGCCACTGCGAAGGGTTTTGAGAGAAAAGATCAGTAGAAACAATTCCCAGTGGCTGGAGGGAAGGTAACTAAAGGATGCAGATTTAACAATAAAACTAGGTCAGCGAGGAGATGAAATACATTTATTTAAAAGAAACACGGCGAGTGCAGTGACGTGGAGAGCTCCGCCCAAAAGGGCAGCAGAAACAAATTCAACAGCAACTTTCAAAAGGGATCTTGGTAAATCATTAAAGAGGTAAAAATGCAGAGAGATAAGGGAAGGAGCAACGGAGGGAGATTAACCTGGTGGCTGTACACAGAAGATGGGGTCACTCAAATAAACTCCTTCTGCATTGTCTTGTTCTGTGAGCTATTGCTACGTACGTCAAGAGCAGCAGCTTCCATGGTGCAAGTAACCTAGTGAAACTTTCTAAAGCACTGAACGAATCAGAAAAATCAGTAAAGTCTGGAGACAAGAGTCAGACATTAGTGCACATGCCCAAGGCTTGGTTGAGGACTGGGTTAAAACAGGCGGAGGGGTTTGGGGACACAGTTCCAGAGCTAAAGGTCCTTGACAACTGAAGGCATGGCCGTAAAACGTGCAACGATGCAAGTCGGCAATGTACAAATAACTTAGAACTGAACAAGTGCAGATAGAGACAGGTTGAGATGCTGGAGGAGGTCACAAAGATAGGGAGGGCGAGGCTATGGGGGGGCGGGAATCTGAAATCAGGGAATCAAATATGAAATTACTGCCAGATTTGGAGCCAATACAGGTCAGAAAGCAGAGGGATAATGGATGATAGAGTGCGAGTTAAAATACTGGGCAGCAGAATTTCAGAGGTGCTGACGTTTCCAGTCAGGAGCTCATTGACTGAAGATAAAGGAAGCATAGGCAAGGGATTCAGCAGCAGATGGTTTGAGTCCAGGACAAAGCTGGGTGCCAGTAAGAGAGTGACAGGAGCACGGAAAACTTAAATCTCAGCATTTGAAAAATGAGGTGGAGGAGTCCAGGAGGAACTGCACTCTTACAGAATGCAAGAAGGGGAACACAAAACGCTGTAGTGACCGGGTATGCTGTATCGTGGGCTTTGACTGAAGAATGTGTGTTACACTGCCTGGGAAACATCTGACATGGACCATTTGGCTACCTAGAGCTCACTTCTCTGAACACTCAAAGAAGTGAGGCTGCTATCCAGAAATTCGCAGCTACGCCCACCACCACTGTAGAGAAAACTTACGTGCACCTCCGCAAATCAGGATCATCTACGTGGTCAATAAGGTTCAGACCAAGCTGGCAGCATTCCTCACAAAGGGGGAGAAACACTTCTTTCCCAATTGTCCGAGCAAGCACTCCTAATGTTTCTGTAATTGGCAAAAATGAGCAGCTTGGTCAAACCGATCTCTCACTTCTACAGCCTTGCTTTCTAAAGTAATTTTAAAAACAAAAATATACAAGCAGTTGTGTAGTCCAAACAGCTGCTGTTCTTCACATCGTCAATGTTCGCAGGGCAACTAGTGCAAATGTCTCTTTATACTGTTTCCCCAAACACTCCCAGGGACAGGGACAGCACAGGGCTGGATACAGAGTAAAGCTCCCTCTACACTGTCCCCCATCAGACACTGCCAGGGACAGGGACAGCACAGAGTTAGATACAGAGTAACCATCTCTATACACTGTTCCCAAACACTCCCATGATAGATGAAAAGCACTGTAATGATGAGCATTCCACGCCACCATTAATTCTGAGCTGTTAGATGCCTCATAAAAGCACACAGAGAGAGCTCCACTTAGAGTTCAGTCAGATACTGACAGCGGCATGGATTCATGGCACCTTTCCCAAATACTCCCAACTGCACGGCTAATGCAGTTTATTCAAAATGTGGTTACTTTGAGACGACCACAAACAGCACGCACCAGATTATTTCATTTAAATAACGGTTGGGGGACACATTTAAATCCCAGGATACTGGGAAGGTCTCAACTTTCTATGTTCAAGATAACACTAGGGGTTTTTTTCCAACTCAGATCAATCAGACAATATGAATTCAGGTTAAATGACTAATCACAAAACCTGACATTGTCAACACAATTCTGAGGAAGGGTCACCGGACCTGAAACGTTAACTCTGTTTTCTCCTCCACAGATGCTGCCAGACCTGCTGAGCTTTTCCAGCAACTTTGTTTTTGCTCCTGATTTACAGCATCCGCAGTTCTTTTGGTTTTTATTTTGTCAACAGGGTGCTCCCTCAGCGCTGACCCTCCGACAGCGCCCACTCCATCAGCACTGACCCTCTGAAACTGTGGCGCTCCCTCAGCGCTGACCCTCCGACAGTGCAGCACTCCCTCAGTGCTGACCCTATTGATCCACAGCGTTTCGACCAACTGCACTCCTTTGGCGCACTTCCTCAATCAGCGTACTGCTCCTTCAGGGGTGACAGAGAGCACTGGGGAAGTGGGGCCTGAAATGACGGGTTCCGTTCCCCAGACTGAGAATGCCCGCCCACGTTAAGAAGGCTTAAATCTATCCTTACTGTCGAGGATCTGCACCAACGTTATAGAGAATTCGGGGAGGTTCCCACTTTGATGAGCTTCACGTACTATCCGTCCGCACCCTCCCTCCCTCCACATCCACGCCGCACCAAGAGGCAGGAAAGGCAGACTCACCCAGTGACTGGATCTGAACCTGTCGTAGCTCCTCACTCGTATTCACCAAGTACCCCTTCAGCTGAACGATCACTGCCTGGAAATACGGTAGCAGTCCCTCCTTGGCAGCGCTGGCTGAGGCATGTGAAGGGCAAAAAAAGGGGAGGGAAAAGGAAAAACGGATGGGTGTTAATAGCCTTGCGCAAAACCTGACAAAACAGCTTTCAAAAATCAGGAATGGCTTTCAGAGGCGAAATAACTTTGCTGTGTTGGGGGATGCCAATCAGAGGATACAGCTTTAAGCTGCTTGGTACAAGTCCAGAGGTGATTTTTTTTCTGAGGCAGCGAAGGTCTGTGATCTCAAACACACTGCCTGAACAGGAAATGGAGGCAAATGCGAGACAGATTTAACAGGGAAGTCAACACATGGTTTCAGAAAATACTTGCAGGCTCTGACACAAAGCAAAATCTGATGGCAGGTGTGTTTGAACATAGTGGCACACACAAAACCGACTCACCGATAGCACCGATAGCACTGACAGCCAATTCCTTCTCTCGGTTGCTGTTCGATGAGCACAGAGCGGTCAACATCCTGTCCATCAGTGTGGGTAGGTACGGTTCAATCTTCTTCCCTGTAAAATATCACCAGGAAAAGACACACCATCATTAAGCGTGGTACTCAAATCTCTAGTTAGACCCCACCCAGAGCACTGACCGTCCATTACACCCCTGCCCAGACC